GTGATCACACTGACACCATCACTGGTAGAGTGATCATCACACTGACACCATCACTGGTAGTGTGTGATCATCACACTGACACCATCACTGGTAGTGTGTGATCATCACACTGACACTATCACTGGTAGTGTGTGATCACACTGATACCATCACTGGTAGTGTGTGACCACACTGACACCATCACTGGTAGTATGTGACCACACTGACACCATCACTGGTAGTATGTGATCACACTGACACCATCACTGGTAGTATGTGACCACACTGACACCATCACTGGTAGTATGTGATCACACTGACACCATCACTGGTAGTATGTGATCACACTGACACTATCACTGGTAGTATGTGATCACACTGACACTATCACTGGTAGTGTGTGATCACACTGACACCATCACTGGTAGTATGTGATCACACTGACACTATCACTGGTAGTGTGTGATCACACTGACACCATCACTGGTAGTATGTGATCACACTGACACCATCACTGGTAGTATGTGACCACACTGACACCATCACTGGTAGTATGTGATCACACTGACACTATCACTGGTAGTGTGTGATCACACTGATACCATCACTGGTAGTATGTGATCACACTGACACTATCACTGGTAGTGTGTGATCACACTGACACCATCACTGGTAGTATGTGACCACACTGACACTCACTGATTGTGTATCACACTGACACCATCACTGGTAGTATGTGATCACACTGACACCATCACTGGTAGTTGTGATCATCACACTGACACGGGTGTTACATGCACATAGTGTATGTGATCACACTGACACCATCACTGTAGTGTGATCATCACACTGACACCATCACTGGTAGTGTGTGATCATCACACTGACACCATCACTGGTAGTGTGTGATCATCAACTGACACCATCACTGGTAAATGTTATCCCCACTGACACCATCACTGGTAGTGTGATATCACACTGACACCATCACTGGTAGTGTGTGGACACACTGACAACCATCACTGTAGTATGTGATCACACTGAACTCATCACTGGTAGTATGTGACACACTGACACCATCACTGGAGTGTGACTCACACTGACACCATCACTGGTAGTATGTGAATCACACTGACACTATCACTGGTAGTATGTGATCACACTGACACTCTCACTGGTAGTGTGTATCACACTGACACCATCACTGGTAGTATGTGATCACACTGACACTATCACTGGTAGTTGTGATCACACTGACACCATCACTGGTAGTATGTGATACACATGACACCATCACTGGTAGTATGTGACCACTGACACCATCACTGGTAGTATGTGATCACACTGAACACTATCACTGGTAGTATGTGTGATCACACTGACACCATCACTGGTAGTATGTGATCACACACTGACACCTATCACTGGTAGTGTGTGATCATCCAACTGACACCATCACTGGTAGTATGTGACACACACTGAACCATCACTGGGAGTATGTGATCAAACACTGACACTATCACTGGTAGTATGTGATCACACTGACACCATCACTGGTAGTGTGTGAATCCACACTGACACCATCACTGGTATTATGTGATCACACTGACACTATCATGGTAGTATGTGATCACCACTGATACCATCACTGGTAGTATGTGATCAACTGACACCATCACTGGTGTGTGATATCACATGACATTAATCACTGGTAGTGTGATCACACTGATACCATCACTGGTAGTATGTGATCACACTGACCCATCACTGGTAGTGTGTGATCACATGACACCATCACTGTAGTGTGTGATCATCACACTGACACCATCACTGGTAGTTGTGATTCACCACTGTACCATCATGGTAGTTATGTGATCACACTGACACATCACTGTATGTGTGATACATTGACACCATCACTGGTAGTGTTATCATCACACTGACACCATCATGGTATTTTGTGTCATCACATGACACCCTCACTGGTAGGTGTCATCACACTGACACCATCACTGGTAGTGTGTGATCATCACACTGACACCATCACTGGTAGAGTGATCATCACACTGACACCATCACTGGTAGTGTGTGATCATCACACTGACCCCCATCACTGGTAGTGTGTGATCAAACACACTGACACCATCATGGTAGGTTGATCATTTACACTGAACACCATCACTGGTAGTGTGTGATCATCACACTGACACCATCACTGGTAGTGTGTGATCATCACACTGACACCATCACTGGTAGTGTGTGATCATCACACTGACACCATCACTGGTAGAGTGATCATCACACTGACACCATCACTGGTAGAGTGATCATCACACTGACACCATCACTGGTAGTGTGTGATCATCACACTGACACCATCACTGGTAGTGTGTGATCATCACACTGACACCATCACTGGTAGAGTGATCATCACACTGACACCATCACTGGTAGAGTGATCATCACACTGACACCATCACTGGTAGAGTGATCATCACACTGACACCATCACTGGTAGAGT